GTTCCAGTTTTTATAGAGTTCAAATATTGCAAGTACAACTTTAGCATTAACAAGAAATTGCAAGTACCATGGATTTGATAAAGAAACAAATCCTAGGATTCTCCATTACTACAAGAATTTTTTAATCTTTATACATACATGCTATTCTCATTATACTCTTGCATCCCTCAACACAGGTATGTCATGCCATTTGCACCATTTTGTGGAGTGAACCACCACGGCCAAACAATAATGCTTGGGTGTGGGTTATTGGCTAATGAGATGATTGAGTCCTTCGTTTGGCTGTTTTCAACATGGTTGGACTGCATGGGGGGTGTTAAACCGAAAGCAATAATAACATATCAATGCAAAGTGATTAGAAAGGCAGTGCAGATAGTATTCCCTACTACTAGGCACCGTTAGTGTATGTGGCACATAAGACAAAAATTGCCACAAAAGCTTGCAATTGTGCAGAGGTATAGGGAGCTTGAGAACACATTCTCAAGCCTCATCTACCATTGCAATGATCAAAATGAGTTTGAACAGAAGTGGCAAGTTATGATCGAAGAACATGATTTAGTGGAGAACCAATGGTTGAAGGACATATTTGAGGAGCGTGAAATGTGGGCACCACCATTTCTGACAGATCAACTTTGGGCTGGGATGTCTTCAACACAACGAAGTGAAGGTCTAAACAATTTCTTTGATGGATTTGTTCATGGACAAACAACATTGAATACTTTTATGGAACAATATGCACTTGCTCAAAGGAGGAAAATGGAGAAAGAAGCAGAAGCAGATTTTCAGTCATATAAGTTAGTGGTCCAATGTGTAACTAAATTGCATTACGAGAAACAATTCCAAGTAGCATACACGAAGGCAAAGTTCATCGAAATTCAAGAAGAATTGAAAGACATGTTGGGAATATTTTCAGAGGTAGTTGAGGAAGAAGGTCAGTGCAAAATTTTTCAATGTGAAGAAGGAAATGGTGGGATGGAAAAAGTCACCTTCCACGCTGAGAAAATTGAATTCACCTGCACCTGCAGGTGCTTTCAGTTTAGGGGAATTGTATGTCGACAGGCATTTGCTGAGTTACTCCAACAACGAGTAAAAGAAGTCAACTCAATATACATTTTGGACCATTGGCGTAAGGATATAACGCGAAGGTATAATTATGAAAAATTTGTTTCCATTGCTTATGACAAAAGGCCAGAAATGGAAAGGTATGACGAACTTCGGCATGTATTATTGCATATTGCTGAGATTGGGTCTGAAATCCCGAAAATGGTGACATATGTTAAAAATAAAGCAATAGAAATGGTAGAAGTGCTGAGTTCATGGAAAACAAATATAGGACATCAACATGGGAAAGATGCTATTTTCAAGAGTAGCACATCAATGAGGGTGAAGAAGAGAGGGACAAAGGTTCCTAACTATCCGAGAACAGTTTATGATGACCCTAATATTACAAAAAAACTCCCCGTGATGAATCCAACCTATAAAAAACGTCGTGGGAGGCCAACTAAGAACCGCATCAAAACATTGGTCGAGAAGGTTTTTATGAGAAAGAAGAGGAAGAAGGGAAATGAAGCATTGCAGTCATCTGCTTCTGGTGAACAAGTTGCACATAATAAGGTAAGAAGCTTCAATTCTAAAAGATTTACCTATATTTTGATATTTTACATAGTCTAAAATATTTGGAAATTGACACTTGGTAGGAATCTAATTTAAAATTGTCCTAGTGTTCTCACATTCTTTCTTCATTCTCTAACAATTATACATTTAAATGGCAAAGAAGAGAATAGGTTTGCATCAATGGAGGAGGTTTGTATAGAAGAGAATAGGTTTGCATCAATGGAGGAGGTTCTTAGAAATAACATTGCGTTTGGAAGCCGAAATGAATTGGATGAGTCAACGAATCCCCAAGAC